AAAGGAGTTCACGGATTCATGTACGATTAATTTGGAAAATAACAAATTAAAATCAATTACAATAATTAAGTAAATTAAACAATTAAGCTAGTTAAAACATTTAGGATAATTAAAAGGAAAAAAAGCTTTTGTAATAAATTGGAAAACATATATTTTGCAAAAAAGAAAAGTTAAAATTAAACGAGAAGCTCTTTAACGACAATGAGACACAACGGAAATCTCGAAACAGAGTGACCCTAAACAAGATTCTCCCACAGCCCTAGAAATTTTTTGCCCAGAAATCAGACAAAAGGGTGTTTCTGTGGACAAAAGAGCCCACAGCAATTTAAAGAAGCTGAAAACATTTCCCATAGTGTAAATTGAGGCTGCTATTTGACTACTCCATGGAGTACCGCTTTTAAGGATCCATGGACTACTCCCATCACTGGTAGCTACGAAAGCTACAGGATATTTTCATCAGTCAAAAGGCCTTTTTATTGCTCTTTTGGTTAAAAAAGTAACAATTATTTTATACTTGCAAACACTTCTATTAGATTTTGAAAAGCGTTCGCCAATGTAATAAAGAAAAAAAATGTATTTTAGGCTTCAGAGGGCTCCAGCTCCGAATAAAACTAGGAAAAGAAGGAAAAAGTTGGATCTGGGGGCCCTTGCCATCTCGGGGCCCCAAGCTACAGCTTATTTAGCTTATACGTAAATCCGGCCCTGGAATGAATGGTGCCCTTAGGCACATTTCATGCATCTTGGGCTGGAGGAGCAGGAGCGTTGGGTGTGACCGAAGCTCTGACATCGAAAACACTGCAGCGGCCGCCGTGGTATTTCTCTATGCTGATCGGGATCCGCTTGATGCTCTCAATATGGTAGATCATCTCGAGATTGGCTAGCATTGGCATAACGATGAGGTACAGGGGGAGGGACTTAAAGGCTCCACCCACTTTCTTCTTAAACTGGACTATTTTCAGGATTTCAATGTTCCGCTTCCCTAATTCAACGGATATTTCATCTGTACTAAAATCATCAGGAACGCCACGGAAGAGGACTTAAGCATTTTTAACTGGCTGAGCTTTTTCTACTGAAGTGGAAGGCTCTGTGGCTTTGTTGGTAGTCTCTTCCGTAGGTTCTGATGCAGTAATAGGGGTGGGCTCCGGCATGAAAAGAGATTCCGAGAGATTGCTGCTTTTCTGGGTCAAGGATGGGTCATCATTTTCTGTAGCTGCGGCAGACTTTTTCTTCTTCTTCTTTCTCTTTTTAGTTGGTGGCTCTTTGTTGTTTCTATTTTGGATCTCAGGTTCAGAGGCTGATGTCTCTTCGTCTATACCCACATTATCGTTAGTAACACTACTTTCTGGGATGATCACAGGGATTTCCGCTGTCTCAGTGATAGTTGTCTCCATTGTAGTTGAGGCAGTTGGCTTCTTTTGACTCGACTCAACAGTTTGAATTGCGGACACCGCTGCGTTAAAGAGTTCATTGAGGTAGAAAACTCTCCAATGGAATCTCGCAGCGTACGAAGTTCCACGATATCAGTAGTTTGTCCTAGAAGAAACTTTGAGTAAAGTGCGTAGTTCATAGATTTGGCCGGTAAAAATCTTTTGTCGATCGAAGATGTCTCATCTAAGTCTGATGTTGGCATGCGGCCGGAAGGGAACTTGTCTCTAGCAAGGCTTGAGCTGATCCACTCTGGTCAAGATCTGATATCGCCTGCCTCTCTGAGACCCAGGCCTGCCAGGATCGTGAAAATTTCAATCCCTTATTTAGAATGATTTTTTTGTTTAAGAAAAAGTGGTTGATCAAATTTTTAATTAGATTATTTTGGATATTTTTTTCAATTTGTGATTTTTACACTGTTTTGATTCTCGCGACTAAAAGGAATCGAAAAGTTGGTTTGAATTTTCAAATTATCTATACAATCAAAGTGAGACGTCCAAGAACCGCCTCAGCGTAGTGACCTCCTCTATTTACGACAACTTTTGGGAGGTATGGAATTTTTTCCACAGACTTGGCATTTTTTCAGTAGACCATCAAAAATTACCTCTCCTAGCGACCTGCAAAATTCAAATAAGGAAACAATACAAGAAATCATCAAAAAATTTTTAACTATATAATTAAGTAGATTCAACTGTATTGTAAATATTTGCGAGTGGCTCTTACTTAGAGAGCTCTTTTTGGCGATCTCTGAAAAAGATCGACTGCCTTATGTTGCAGTCAGAGTGCACTAAAGACGATACTATCAAAGATTTATTTTTAAAGGTGAAAGTTAAATTAGAAAAAAAAATTAGCATAGAAAAAACTAAACATATCAAACGAACCCCTTCTCATTTTTTATTAAAGTGAAATAATATTTATGATATAAACTAAAATGCCAGCTAAGACAAAAAAAAACATAACTGTTTATTGATTTAAAATAGTTTATTGATTAATCTATGTTTTTACACATAATTATATCAGTATGGGTCATTTCTATTGACACTGAGTTTTGTTCAGAGATCCGGTAACCCCTAAGAACGACCAACCTCCCTTAGCGAGAATTTTACTGTGGAAACGAGATTGGTCGCTCCCGAGAGGTTTCATTGTATATCCAATTTTCGCCCCATTATTAGTTAGACTATAAATATTTAATTTTTTACTGTGCAACTTGATTCCGTTTCATAATTTTTGAACCCTCTTTTTGTTATCCATATTGAAACTACTCGCTTTTAACAATTTTTCACACGCACTGATGCTACTATTCGAGTTGGTGCCCCACTACCTTTACCAATTTTCATTGGGAAGACATAACGTGTAGCACCTGAAATTGGAATTTTATCAACATTGGCTACATTTTCCAAAATAAACAATCTGTGCCCTAGTACATAACCGTGGCAGGGTGCACTGGTGGTTGTACCTGGATCAATGGACGCGGTATCAGAGCCCACACCTTTGATACTTCTATTCTCTGTTAACCACTTGCAAGCTCCTGGTGAGAATCCTGGATAATGCAATTTTGAGGTGCCATCACTTGAGATGCCGAAAAAAGCATCACGGTCGTTCCATTTGTGGCCCCAACCAGAGTTCAATAAAACTATGGTCCCGTTCAAACTCCTTTGCGTTGTGCGTTCCCAGTTCTTGACATCTTCTACGGTAGCTAAGGCATCAGGACTAAGTGATGCTTTTCTAGTTATGTCGATAACAGCTGCTTTCCCGAAGAAGGAACTGGCTGGTATCTCATCAACGGTCTTTGACAACATGTGCCGGGCATCCATGTGCGTACTTGTGTGCATAGAAGTTGAGAAATCCTCATATTGAAGTCTGAAATAAAAATAATTATAAAATTGCATGATGGGTATTTTTTCTATCTGTCATTGAATAGCCGATCCAGTTTTGAGCATACGACTATCAGTATTTCAACTCCGAAGCCTTGTGAATTTGACCCGATTCAGAAGGCAAGGAGACTCCTGGATCAAATATAGGATTAAATGTGCCTTTGTCGAAGAATTTTCGATTGAACTTTACCCGCATTTGCTTTAGATAGTGAGGGAAACCACGAGAACCTCCCATGTTTAGCATGACGGCAAGGGGCCTCTAAAATCCAATTATCCGTCTACCAAAGAGGATATTTTATCTTAACAGTGTGGTCGGAACAAATCGGAATTCAGAATTCTTTTCGACCTAGGATTCAAACACGGGGCATCTCATTGGGAGGCGAGAGCTCTATCCACGGACCCATCATGGCAATATAAAAAATTTAAGATAAAGGCAAATTTCCTTAAGTTAAGCATCCCTGTGTATATTCAACACCTGTCAAATAACAAGACAGAGATGCCAACTTGCCTCGCTTTATCAGCAATCTTGTTCTCCAGTGGAATTAAAAATTTTCGTTTTGTAAATTGGAATTATTTTTTCCACCAGAACCTATAAATTTTAATACAATGAAAATTGTTGCAATTATCTTGTGAAGTGTCTTTTAAAGAGAGAGCGAAATTCGGCGAGTTTAGTTTATAATTCTCAATCTCGTAATAATACCTTTTACAGAAAATGAAACAATTGGAATTCCTGGTAGACTTGCAAAATCAATTAAATCCCCATTTTATTAGCTGATCACTTGCTAAATCTCTTCGGAACGGACGAGTCATATATGCAATCGTGCAGATTCGTGATGGAGAAAAAATAAGAAGCGGAAGCATACATGTGGACATGGCTAGTTTGAAAAACTTATTTTTCTTTCACGTTAATTTTAACCTATCCAATTTATGCAATTACGTAACAATATAATTTTCGTTTTGAGTTAAGTAGTGATGAATTAAATAAGTAAAACTATTACTACCCCACACACAAAAACCGGTAAAACTGGTTGTTTAGCTATCAGTTATATCATTTTTACTCTGAATGTCTCGCCCGTCTCATAGATATTAAGAAGACTATCAAAACTTTGCCTACAAGTGATGAACTTGCGCGGGATTTAAGGTATTTAGATAGAGAAAAGATTAATTTTTTAGCTATCACTTCACATTTATAAAAAATCTTGTTAATTTTATATGAACCATAAAAATAAAATTGGTGTTACATACATTAACGGGCTTGCTTGCTCAATTATGGTTTATAACCCTTTGTCAAATAAAAGAACTGATAGAGCAAACTACAGAAGGACATCACGAAAAATACATCTAGGATTACGGCACGATTTGAACCTATTATTTCCACACGATTGGTGGGCTTGGCGCGTAAAAATGTTTTCATAATTGAAATTTTCAGTCAAATTTTTCATTTCCCGTGGGATTTAACAATAAAAATGGAATGAGAAATACTGAAAACAATTTTGAAAACAAAGAAATAAAAAGGAAGGTAGTGACTCAGACTAAGAAATTTAACTTAAAAAATACAGCCCAATTCTAATGCAGTAAAATCATTACAAAATCTTGAACAGCTGAAGAAAATAGAGATGATGAAACATTTGGAGCATTGTATTAAGACAAATGGAACAGAAGCAAATTTTTTTAAAGTTCAACGTTAGATAAACATATATTTCTACTTCTCAGATGGAAAAAACTTCTGAAAGCAATATGCATTTATTCTATTTAATCATCCTAATCATAAACTAGGATTGCCCAATCGCCTGTATCGAACGAGAATTTCTCTAATTCTCGAATTTCTTAGGTATGGACCCTACTGTAGTAATTGGAATTATAGAACTAAATAAATTTTAAAAAAATAAAAAAGAACCATTTTGGAGAGAAATAGGATCTAGTTTAATGCTAACCTGTGATAAATTATCTGTCCAGTATTTAGTAACTAGCTAAGATTTGTGAATAGTTTTCGATGCTTTTTATCATTGAAAATCTGTTTCGTTAAATTTGAATACAGAAACTTTTAAAACAGAGTTTAGTCAATCCTTTTTTTGGTAATAAGTTAGTGTTCTTTTCTTAAACTTAAAATGTAAACCTACAGGATAAAACAAGAAAATAATTCTAAAAATTAAATTAAATTTAAAATTATTTAATTTTTTACAAAGTTTAGATTTATGATGTCTTCAGTTTGGTGCATAATTGTGTAGTGCAGAAGAACGCATGCACAGTAAGCATTATTATGTCCAGTGCTCGGAAAAACTACATTATTCTTGTAGTTTACTACTACTTTTTTATTACAAATGTAGTTAACTACAGCTACAACTACTTTCGTTAAAATGTTGTGGCAACAAACTACTTTCGAAATGGCAGCTACTTCACCACTTTAAGAAAGTGAACTTTGCTGGGGAACATAATTTACAGCCATGTTCAAAATGGTTTTGAATAACAAATAAGGAATCATGATAAAATACTTATTCATGTTCACAGGAGCCGGTTGGTATTCTAAAATATTTTATTTTAATTTGTTAAGTAAACCTTCAAGATTTTTTGATTTCTCCACAGCGAATATTTAATATGAGAAATGTTAGGAAGTTATCAAATATTAGCAATTTTGTAAAGTCCTTAAAGCGCTTTTATTTCTTCTAAGAAATTAAGTACATCGAAAGTATGTTCCCTTCCTTTAATGCATATGCGTTTGCATATGCATACGAATGCATATGCGTTTCACGAGTATGCATTCGTATGTGACCAAATTGATAAATTATCTATTATTCGTAATCGCTAGCTTAAATATTAGTTACGCAACTCAAGAAATACACAATTCTTGTTAACTCACAGAGGCATTTTAAATTGCATCCATTGACGGAACCATGAAAATTTGTTCTCATCAAATTCTATAAATTAGTTGTGTTAGAACCCTGTACCTTTACTAAATTAACATAAAAAATAGTTTTCAGGAATTTCTACTAACTGCACTATTTTTTTAAAAAAAAAAGTAGCACACTATACTACGAACTACGATATAATTAGCGACTACAGTAGTTTCACTACTTGTCGTGTGCTACTTCCGACTACTGATTATATCATATAAATAAAGTTATGGTGACAATAATTATTAAAATTCCTCTTATTTTCCAAATTTAAGTACTTTTTTAAAATTATTTTCTTCTAAAGACGATAAAAACCATTTCACTTACTTTATAGTTACTTTGTTACAAATATTTAAAAAGTTTTAACGGTTAGAAAAAACGCCCAAGTTGGACAAAATGTGAATAATTATTGAAGCTTTCATAGCATAAAATATTGAAAAGAGCAACAAAACTACGTTTTGTAACATATATTTTAAAAATTAGAAAGATTTTATGAACTATTATTCAGGAATTATCTAAATTCAGAATTTGAATTGGGGGAAAAATTACGTCGTTTATGAAAAGTTCGTAAGAAAGTTGAAGTCAATACTTACTATTTTGCTACCAAATTTTCGTTGGGGCCTTTAACCAACTTTTCAATTTTGTACTCATTAAATATTGGATAATATAACGTAGTTTCATCAAATAAAAAAATCATATCAATTAACTTTTTTCTTTTAGTCCTAGCATTAGTGAATGATAGGCCTGAAAGCAATTAGTTATATATCAAGAATACAACGGGGAAAAAATATGCCGTTTTTAAAAAGTTCAAAAAAAAGTTGAAGACCACACTTACTATTTTGTAACCAAATCCTTGTTGGGGCCTTTAACTAATTTTTCAATTTTGTATTTACTGTATATTGGATAACGTAACGTAGTTTTATCAAATACATAAGTCATATCAATTAACGTTCTGGTTTTACGCCTAGCATTAGTAAAATGTAAGCTTAAAAATGTGAATAGCAAGGCATGAAACAATTTCATTTTAAAATCGAAATGGAATATAAAAAAATATTCGTGAAATATTTCAAAATCATGTATATACTACAAACAAATATCTTTCTAGCAATTGTAAACCATAAATATGTTGGTAGAATAAGAAATCATATTACGACGAAGCATTATCTAAATTGGATTACATCTGCGCAAACAAGTTTTAAATTACTTCTTTCTGTATCGTGATATTTGGGTTAACTAGCTGTATTTTATTAAGAAAAGTTTCAGATAACTCAAAAAAGTAGAAGAAAAACAAGTATTACAAAATAATACCATACCTTTTTAATTTTTACAGTAAATTCCAGTAATTTAACGCATTCGCGACATCGTGATCCATAGATTTATTCGGTGTTTAATTTGAATTAACACCTATAAAAAAGCATATTGTTGCTTCATTGATCTGTATAAACAGTATGCAATTCTGGAATGCTCATCTTGTTTCACTGCGTTTAATTGAAAAATGGTACTAATTCTTTTAAGAGAACATTAAAAATAAGTAAACTGATATTTATGCCAATGATGTTTAGTTATTTTTGGTGATAGGTACTAATTGATATAAAACCAATATGCTATGCACTAAAAAGCTAAATTGATGGAGAAAATGTACTTAATCGTTATGAGATACCGTAAAAATTCACCATAATATTATTGACACCAATACTATGCATTTTTATAATAGATTTTCAATACCATAGATTTTCATAAATTTTCAATATCATGAGTTGCCTTCAGAAACAGAATTGTGCTAGATAATCTATATATATATTTCTCTTACACGGCACCAAAAAAAAGCCTCATTACTACTCCCCGAATGGCAACGTTAGAAAATGGACCAATGATTGTTGCTAAAAATGTCACATGGCAAATGTCACGTGAGGTGGCTCAACATATAGCGCTTTTTAAAAACGGAAACAATAACCAGAGTGAGCATTATCAGGTTGTTCAATTCAGATTCATGCCCTAAAAACATGATAATATTTAATTTAAACTCAATTAGGAATTAATTAGGCTGGC